AATTGGAAATGGAGAAGTATAAATGGAAACCAGTTAATTATTTCAAGAATCTTTTCATAAGTCCATCTAAAATTATATATGCATATAAATGTATGTTTCAACATTTTGTATGTAAAAGTGAAATACTAACCTAAATAACTGTATAATATTATAGCATATACACACACAAAACACACACCTATATAGTTATTTGCTTAGTGAAGTTTTATGATAACTTTGTAATGGAATGTGGCAGAATTTATGATGTTCAATTTTAGTACTTAAGCTTCTGGAACCTGACTGTCTAATCTTCTCTGGTTTTTCCCATATAGGGGGGAAAAAAAGAGGGCTTGGAATTATTGGTGTATCTCAACATTAAAAACGTCATCTCTCCTGTTGGAAATATGGCAACTCTGTTGTGTTTTCCAAGATATATGCCAGCAATATTTCAAAATATGATTAACAGTGCCAATACCTTGTAAAGTTGGGCACATCTTTTCTTGTTTTGTCTTAGTGATGCCGTCTATCTTTGTGAAAGCTGATATATTAAATAGCTTTTTAAAAGCCTTATTGTGGCCTTTCTCTCCCTTCGGTATAGTAGTGTAACTTTTATCAATAATAATGGGAGCTATGTTGGAGCATACGGGGTGGTTATGTGGCTCTTGCAGTTTATGGTGATTGACCAGCCTTGGAACCATGGCTTGGAGTCCAGAAGCCTCAGTTATTTAAGCTCTGGGGGAATAGAAGGTGCTCTTTCAGCAAGCCCCCAAACTTGGAGCTTTTCTGCCTTTTTATTTGGGCAAAAACTAGTGCACGAACACATAAATTAGGTGAGATGGAATGACAACAAATTTCATGTAAAATTGTATGATCTCCAAAATGTAAACTCAGGGGCATTTTCACCCAGAATATTTACCTTGGCATTAGCCTGAACTGTAGTTAAAAAGTACATGAAAAGTTATGTAATCTTCAATTAAACTTTATATACAGATATCAGTCTTTGAGATTGATACAAGGAAATATATTTTTTTCATCAAAAGATACTATCCATTTTCAGAAATCACACTTGTTTTTGAGATGGACTAATGTTGTAGACAAGGAAAGTGATGCCCACTGAAGTTACATGAATCATCCACCATCATACAGTTAATACTAATCCCTGACCATGAATACAGAAAAGATTATAATGTGGAACTTGACCAACAAACAACTATATACATGCATACTCGGGACAGAGTGAGGACTCAATAAATACTTTTTTTTTTTTTTCAACATTTATTTATTTTTGGGACAGAGAGAGACAGAGCATGAACGGGGGAGGGGCAGAGAGAGAGGGAGACACAGAATTGGAAACAGGCTCCAGGCTCTGAGCCATCAGCCCAGAGCCTGACGCGGGGCTCGAACTCACGGACCGCGAGATTGTGACCTGGCTGAAGTCGGACGCTTAACCGACTGCGCCACCCAGGTGCCCCAGAGTGTCAATTTTTTAAAAAAGTACTCTTTTGAGGTATTTTCTCACAGGCATGATAAACTTTTAACATTTCCTCAGTCAACAGATATTTATTTATTCAGCTCTTATTATGTGCTAAGCATCCTGCTAAACCCTGCTTGACTATGTGAGTTTGACTTTTTCTAGTCCTTTTTAGTAAAACATGAAAAATTTTGACAATTCTATATCAGTTGATCTCTGTTCTTTGCATTTTAAAAACGCAGCATTGGGTGCTGTATGTAGGCAATGAATTGTGGGAATCTGCCCCCCAAACCAAGAGCACACTGTATACACTGTATGTTCATGCCCAATGTGCAGCTTGACCTCACGACCCTGAGATCAAGGCCTGAGCTGAGATCAAGAGATGGAAGCTCAACCAACTGAGCCACCAAGATACCCCCTTTTTCCTTTGATGACAAGTATTATCGCGGAGCCCAAACTTGATAAATATAATAGGATATGCATTTGGTTATTCTATTTGGAGAAGTCCCACTACATATTTTAAAACCTGTGCTACTCCAGTGTTTACAGCAGCGCTATTGACAACAGCCAAACTACGGAAAGATTCCAAATGTCCACTGACTGACAAATGATAAAGAAGATGTGGTATATACATACAATGGAAAATTACTCGGTGATCGAAAAGAATGAAATCTTGCCATTTGCTACAGCATGGATGGAACTAGAGTGCGTTATGTTAAGCAAAATAAGTCAGAGAAAGACAAATATCATACGATTTCACTCATAGGTGGAATATAAGATACAAAACAGATGAACATAAGGCAAGGGAAGCAAAAATAATATAAAAACAGGGAAGGGGACAAACCATAAGAGACTCTTAAAAGGAGAACAAACTGACAGTTGTCAGAGGGGTTTGGGGTGGGGGGGATGGGCTAAATGGGCAAGGGGCTTTAAGGAGGACACTTGCTGGGAGGAGCACTGGGTATTACATGTAGGGGATGAATCACTGGAATCTACTCTTGAAATCATTATTGCACTCTATGCTAACTAACTTGGAGGTAAATTTAAAAAAATTAACACATATAGGGGCGCCTGGGTGGCTCAGTCGGTTGGGCGGCCGACTTCGGCTCAGGTCATGATCTCACGGTCCGTGAGTTCAAGCCCCGCGTCAGGCTCTGTGCTGACAGCTCAGAGCCTGGAGCCTGCTTCAGATTCTGTGTCTCCCTCTCTCTCTGCCCCTCCCCTGCTCATGCTCTGTCTCTCTCTGTCTCAAAAATGAATAAACGTTAAAAAAAAAATTAACACATATAAAAAAAATTTAAATAAATAAAAAATAAAAGTAAAGCCTGTGCTATATTTCTGGAGAGGAAAAATCACTGTGCCCACTACTATTCACACAGGTACCTCTAGCATTTTTGCGTGTATCCAATAGGTCATCCCAAGCCCTGCCAAGCCTTCAAATTCCTCTATCATCAGCCTCACTTTACCTCTTTGGCCCTAACCAAGTTTCTTGAAGCTCCTTAACACCTGTCATGGAACCTTCTGTCTTGCTTTACTAACTGCTTCAGTACTCTCCCCCACCTACTTTGCCTTTGTTCAAGATTTAAAGCTTCATTATCTTCTCTTCTAGGCCTTCTCAAGCTCTCTAAGGCTCTTCCCTCTGTGCCTCTGTGCAACCCAGGCATAGCCACTATTATTTTAATTATTTTTATGCACACAATTTTCTTTTCTATTAGATTAGGGTTTCCAAGAGATCAGATACCCCTGCATTGTATTTACTTCTGTATTCATAGCCAATAAGCTCTGCTGAAAACAGAGTGGATGGTCAAGCAGTATCTGTAAGATGAATGAATGAACAATGCCAAGCCCTCCCACAGACCGGACACGCGGTTCTCCCTACTGGTCCTCCCCTCCGTGTACTATGAGAGCGAGCTTTCCGTGTGCTTGCAGAGCGCGGGTGGGCACACAGGACCACGTTTTGCCCTCGCTGTAATACTACTGATGATTCTATCGCTAGCGCCCTTTTACTGAAGAGGAAACTGGGACTTAGGAGACACCTGGTGACCTTCTCAAAGTCACACCGCTAGGCAGAAGGACTGTGCGGTGGAAACACCGGGGAAGAAACGTGAAACAAACGCGCGCTGCCTGGTGAGAGCCCCAGGACTTAACAAAAGCAATCCAAAGCAAGGATATCACTGGAGAAGAAAACAGCCCAAGTTGTTCCCATGTAAAACAAGGGAGGCAGGGCTGTCCACTCTGATACCCGGAATTTCATCAGGAAGATGTCCAAATGAAGAGTTTCTGCCGCCTCCCCCGGGAGGGCCCTCCACGCGGACACGTGTTCTTTAGCGAACCTGCATTTGGCGTGTTGCACTCTGAGCACAGCTCAGAGGCGACTTTCGCCCTCTTGCTTTCTGTTTCCCTTATAACCGGCGATTTGGTTCGGTGCCATGATTCCAAAGGGTCATGCGTTTCTATTTAATAAAACAGATGAGTAGCATTTTCTACCCCCTAAATCAAAAATCTCTCTCTTCCTACAACTTCAAAGAAAAGCCCTGGTAATATCCAAAACGGTTGCGAGGTTCTTTTTTTAATGCCTAGAAATTCACATGACAAAGGAAATAGGAAAAACCCTTCCCCACCTAGCCCATGTGTTTGTGAGTTTACAATGCCATCATTGTTTATGTTGGGCTCTATTCATTTTTGTCTGCAGACTTCCTCTGTACAGTTTAACTACTTTCTCATGCTAAGCTCTCTGCAAATTGTCACAATGGTTAATGGGAAATTCTGTACCAAATACTATTTAATTTTAAGGCATTTCTGCCAGCTAATTTATGACCAACTGCAAATTTCATTCTGCCAGGGCAAAAAACAATTTGTTTGTTTCAGGTTGAAAATAGTTTTTCAAATAAATTCTGATGGTACACTTATCAAGCCCTCTTATCTTTCATTAAACTAATGCTTTCAAGCATAATTAAGACGGAGCTGGAAAACTAAGTATAATGTAATGCTCTGATATTAAAGAAGACATATCAAAATAAATTTGCAATTGTATCATCACATCAATCTCTACTATGACTGCAATAGTATTATAACCATAATTAATTAGCTATGGTACAAATTACCAATAAATCTTTAGAAATTAAATGCCTAATTTTTCAAAACCATATGTCTTCATAAATTGATTATTTAGAATTTAGAGGCTTTTTAATTAGGAAGAAATTTATGCAATGCTGTATGTAATAATTAGGAATCAGCTTTTCTGCAATACTTTTGAACATCAGCAAAAAATTAAATCTTAAGAAAATAGTCTGGGTTAATTATAGTATTTCACTGTCAAAAATCAACATATAGGTAAAATTTAGAGGTTAATGTGGCTTTCCATTTCTTTAACTTCCACCTAGTCTTACGTTCTCAGTGCTGGAATCATTAACCGAGCCCAAAAATCAATGAGAGGGGGGAAATCTCCCCAGTGATTTATGCCTCAAAGAAAGTTTTCATTTTATCCAATAGTTTCAGCAAACCTCATCAATCCAGGTTAAATATTTAACACTCCTTTTTTTATATTCCCTAAGGTTAAAGCAGGATATTTCTGAGCCTAGCCATCATTTTGGGTAAGTGATTATTCTGACATAAGACACAAAAGCTCCTGGGTCAGGAGGGTGGGAACATCATTTGGGGTCCAACAAAGGCATCGCTAAAGAGCGACCTCATTACGTGTGTGGTCAAAAACCCAAAGCGATGGGGAACGGGACCTGATGGTGAGCCACTCTGCACTCACAGGGCCTGCTGTCAAAGCCAAGGCCCTCCTGTGTCCTGAAGACTGGCTGCGAGGTGCCGTGGCCCATGTCTTGCCCCTGCCTACAAAAGGGCCCGTAGGGAAACGCACAGACCACACCACAAAGACGATTCTACAAAAACTGGAAAGCCTGCCGATCGAATCCAGAAACCAAATGTTTTCTTCTTCTTACTTCTTCCCCTTCTCCCCACTTCAGTTCCCTGATCGTAATCCGGCCAATGTGTTTTGCATCTATAGGTGTTACGGGATTGGGGCCAACCTGGGTGAAATTCAATTTTGCTCATCTAAGCACTTTCCCCAATGGCTTTCATTTGAATTCATCTTCCTCAATAAAGAGTTGGATCCTGAGTCCTCCCGAAGCCAGTGTCCCTTTGTCTGCCCAGGAAACAAAAGGATTCTTCCTTTGCTGGTTCCCAAAGGAGCTAAGCCACTATTTTCTCCTTTCAGGTTTTCGCTGTATCTCCCCATCCCATTTTTTCATCTAAAGGTCTTCCGGCAAAACTAGTGAGGAGGCTCCTGAGCGCGTGACTCAGGAGTGACAATCGCTAACAGATGCATTTGTACCCGGGCAGAACTGGCCTCTAATTGTTGCTTGTAGGAGAAAAGGCAAAGCGACTGTAGCACCGCCGTTCTCTGTTGCTGGCAGATAACAACCTCGAGATGAAGCCACATTTGCAGGGGAAAAATTGCTTACGCCCACAGAATGAAATTTCAGGCTTTGACAGCTGCTAGGTAAGTAAATGAGAATCATTTTATTCTGGGTAAGTGCAACACAGCACATCTTGAACAATGAGGAGTTGATGGCCCGAGGGCGGTGACACCCAGGTTGTCCGCCTTCAGAAGAGTCTCCTGGGAGAAGAACTAGGGAACAAGTGGCCAAACAATTGTCCCTTTGGCCCAGCACGGCTCCTCACAATCTTAAGTGGGAGGCGCGAGTCCCTTCAAAGGAGAAAATGGCTTCAATTTTCCAGCTCACAATTCGACAGATAAACACCGCACATGGACTCTGAGAAAGCCCTCTTGGAAAGCCTGAGGCCTCTGCCAGAATTCAGGAGCCCTTCATCTCCTGCCTGGATGCTTTTAACAGCCTCCCAATTGGTTTTCTGACTTCAGTCTCCACCCTCAGCCAGAAAAAAAGGGGCTTCTAAAAGGCTACGACTCCCCTGCTCTTAAAATATTTCTAGGGTTCCGACTTGCCATTAGAAGGCTGACTTACAAGGTCTTCCCACACTGGCCCGTATTATTTTCCCAAACTCGCTTCTCACCTTGACCCTTGGCCTCCAAGCCTTTCACAGGCTGTTCCCTTTTCAGACCTTCTCTTACTTGTTCTGCAGACATTAGCAGAACTGCTCCTTTCCCCAGAAAGCTTTTCTCAACGTTTATTTATTTTTGGGACAGAGAGAGACAGAGCATGAACAGGGGAGGGGCAGAGAGAGAGAGGGAGACACAGAATTGGAAACAGGCTCCAGGCTCTGAGCCATCAGCCCAGAGCCCGATGCGGGGCTCGAACTCACGAACCGCAAGATCGTGACCTGGCTGAAGTCGGACGCTTAACCGACTGCGCCACCCAGGCGCCCCTCCCCCAGAAAGCTTTTCTGATGCTACCAGCTGGTTAGGTCCCTTCCCTCTGTGCTCCCACAGCCCCCATTGTGCCTCTGGGACAGTGTTCTCAGATTGAACTGCCTCTTTATTTATTTTGTCTCTGGTTTCTTTCTTTCCTTCTTTCTTTCTTTTCTTTCTTTCTTTCTTTCTTTCTTTCTTTCTTTCTTTCTTTCTTTCTTTCTTTCTTTCTTT